TCTTTTATTTCAGTGCTCCGCTTTATAACGCAACCATCTAATTTATAGTCAAAAGGTATATCACTACTAGACTGCCTCGAGAACGTAACTACGCAACATCTACCTATATTTAGGTTCAAACAGTTTAATGTACACCACTGCTGAAATTCATCTAGATCGAGCTAAAGACGATTACAATCTGAGAGATCACGCACAACTGAAAAAAGTTTAACATTATCTGCAAACATCAGGCAGTTTGCAAAATTAAAACAGTTAGGCAAGTCGTTTATAAATAGAATAAACAACAGTGGTCCACAATGCGTGACCTGTGGTATGCCCGACCATGCATTAACTGTCACTTGATATGTTGTTGCCCCAATTTGCACAAGTAACTTTCTTTGCGTTAGACCCTCTTCGGTTCGCCTATCCATCAGCGCCAGGCACTCAAAAGTTTTAATTCAAGTAAGAAGTAACCATATTTAAATTTAAAACTAATTTAATAAGGAAATAAGTAGAATTATAATCTGAATTGACAAGGCGAATGCCTAACGCTGACGAGATGATATGATAAGATTAGTAGCCTCATGGCTCTTATGGGCAGTAGCGCCGGCCTTTACAGACGCGCCGGCGTCGCCGCCGCCGCCGATTATTTTTGAAGTTGCCCACGCCGCCGCCGCAAAGCCTGTCGGCGTAAACCTCTAATATGTATGTAAACTAACACTTAAGTAAACAATGCTTTTACCCCGCACAATTATGACGATTGGTTTCATCATCAACTTCATCAGGCGGCACTTCTTCGCGACGCTTACGACACTTCTCACTATCTTCATCCGACGCATCCACACAATCTGCTACACCGTCGCAGAGCAGACTCAAAGCTATGCACGCGCCATAATCACAACGATATGATATCGGTGTACATAGTGTATTTTTGCAAAACTCTTCGGTCTCATCGGAACCATCGCTGCAGTGCTTGCTGCCATCGCAGAGTGTATTCATATGTATGCAGTCGCCATTAGAGCACTGCCAGCGTTCATTCGATTCGCATTCAGTAGCGGATATCACTGCATTTATAGGTATAGGAAATAAAATACATATATATTTAAGTGCCGAATTCAAGGTTAACCATTAAGAGTTAGAAACTTTGTCAAACTACAAATGATTAATCACACTACACGCACCACATTTAAAACTCCGATAGAGAGCTATGCTAAAAAGCAATGCTATTTGAAATCGTCTCATATTTTGTTTTTCTAATTTACGTTGCCATCACTTAAAATCACTTCTTAGTACGGCACTCAACAATAACGTTCTGATTGCACTGCTGGCTTGCAAACTACAGAATGCCAAGATGCATTCTCATTCTAGTTGCGCCAATTTTTGCGCTCGCTGACCCTTAGAGATGCGATAACATTGGTTGGGAAAACCCCATTCAGTCGTATGTATATGCATATATTTGTATGTGTATTCAATCAGTTGTGAGTACACAATTTTCATATTCGCTAACGTTCAATTGCTTTTAATCAGTGCCCGTTTAGTATTAGAAATAAATTTCCAATTTCTTAGCACTCGTACTCGAATTAAGGGAACGATCGATAATCGCGCACTACGCATAACGTTTTTGCTCTCTTTGTAAATATGAATTACATTGGCGAGATAAGCTAAGGAATGTCAAGTGAGTGTACATAAGTTGATATTAGCATAAGTATTTGGTACTCTTCGCAGATGTTGATAAAAATTGCAAAATAATAGTGAAAACTATCAAACCATGAAACTTTTTAGAGATAACTATATTAACTAAACCGGCACGCTTCGCTATATGTACCATAAACATTTCAAGCTGTAATTCTAGTTAAATGTTGGTCTACATAAATATAAATATCTTCATATCAGAAGCGTATTGCAATGTGCTTATGAATAGACGATATCCTCTCCTAGCCCATCTGGTGCATAAAAGAGATAATTGATTGGTGACCAACCAGTGAACATTAAAAATGCTTTATTCAAGAGCAAACCTTCTTCTCTATACTTTTAAGGAAAAATAGTATTTTTAATTGGATCTCTCTCATAAACACATCCAGAGATATGCAGTATAAAAAAATCAAATTGTATGGGAGTTGCCACGCCGCCTTTTCCAATCATCTTTTTTTCTCCANAGTGACCAACCAGTGAACATTAAAAATGCTTTATTCAAGAGCAAACCTTCTTCTCTATACTTTTAAGGAAAAATTGTATTTTTAATTGGATCTCTCTCATAAACACATCCAGAGATATGCAGTATAAAAAAATCAGATTGTATGGGAGTTGCCACGCCGCCTTTTCCAATCATCTTTTTTTCTCCATGAGTTTTGAATTGAATTAATATAGTATTTAATCTCCATATCAAGTTTCAGCACTCTACCACAAATACTTCCAGCGATCAGTGATCGGACTTCTACCACATTGTGGTAGATCTACCACTTTTTTGAGCATCTGCCACTTCTACCACACAGGGTCTGAATCCTACAACATATTCGCGTTTTGGAGTGGTTTAATTTTTGCTCGACATCATTTTTTTTATGTTTTTAGTTTTGGGAGCAAAAGTTGTCCAACACTAAACACAATGTGATAACAAGAATGAGAGAATGCAAGATTTCGTATTCCCGGCGGCGATGAGACTTAAACATTTTAACAGATTTAAAAGCAAACAAAGCCGAATGAGAGAAAAAAANTGCCACTTCTACCACACAGGGTCTGAATCCTACAACATATTCGCGTTTTGGAGTGGTTTAATTTTTGCTCGACATCATTTTTTTTATGTTTTTAGTTTTGGGAGCAAAAGTTGTCCAACACTAAACACAATGTGATAACAAGAATGAGAGAATGCAAGATTTCGTATTCCCGGCGGCGATGAGACTTAAACATTTTAACAGATTTAAAAGCAAACAAAGCCGAATGAGAGAAAAAAATAGAAATAAACTCTCAAACAGTAAATTTTCTTAATATTCAATTGTCTTAGAATGCAAAATATATTATTCATAAAAAAAATTAATAAAGAAAATATTAAAGATCGGAGATTTGTGAAAGTATTAGTGAATTTCAGTGCATTTAAAGTTTCTGAGGCGTTGTTTACATTTACCNAATAGAAATAAACTCTCAAACAGTAAATTTTCTTAATATTCAATTGTCTTAGAATGCAAAATATATTATTTATAAAAAAAAAATTAATAAAGAAAATGTTAAAGATCGGAGATTTGTGAAAGTATTAGTGAATTTCAGTGCATTTAAAGTTTCTGAGGCGTTGTTTACATTTACCTGAGAATAGGCAAAACCCAAATAGCAGTTTGTGGAACGCACCACCTTTGTTCGCTAAATCGTGTTGTGATAAAAGGAAAAGCTGGCAGCACTCCACAATGCTGGAGAAATCTCTCAAAGTATGTTCGAAAAATATCTTTATAATGAAGGAACTGCTTTACACTGTCAAGAAAAAAAATTTCCAAAACTCAACGCAGTTTTTAGCAACTTAAAATTCGCACTTATTACATGTCCTAAAATTTAACAGTTTTTTTTTTCTGGAGATTCTAATTGAAAAGTTTGCAATTTATGTGAAACGTTGCACAATTTTTTAACTTTGGCACAAAGTTTGAAATTCGGATTTATATAGTTTTTTAGACAAAGAGCTAAAAACTTTTGTGAAAAATTAATAAACCTTAAACAAACAAAGAAAAATACCCAAAACTTGTTAAACTGTCGCGACACTATTATTGTTATAGTTTCTGTTTCGTAGTACATAAAAGATATAAATAAATAATAAACTATCCAAAAACTGAGATCTACCACATTTTTGTGAAATCTACCACATTTTTTTTTTGGTGATTCTACCACACAGAATTATTTTTAAGTCCGATCACTGCCAGCGATATTCTGTATAAAAAAACTCCGTTTGTATGGGAGTTGCCACACCCCCTAAACGAGATGAAATCTCTCCTATCTTTTAAGCTGTGCTAACTTGACACCAGTGTGCAAAAAGTGTCATGCTGATCGGTTGAGTAGTTAAGGCGTGAGAGCGTAACAAACTCACTTTCTGCATTTATAATATTAAATATTGAGTAAATATTATATAGATAAAGAATTTGCTTTTCCGCGATTCGAGTAATCGTTTTCTTGGAATTAGTGAAATATTTACATATGTACATACATACATACATAGTATACGTATGTATTTGCGATAAATGGCATATTTTTAATTATAATTTTTGTAAAATTTGTGTAATAATGTGCATATACCAAACATAGCGTTCACTTATATACTTCTGCTTATCGGAATCAAATGCTCCAGTAGATGGCAAGCCTCACATAATAAAATAATACATATAAGAAATTTGTAATTTTATTAAATGTGTAATGAAGAAAGTACATTTTAACGATAAGGGGTTATTGAAAAGCAGCTGTTTGCATTTCAAGGTTTGGCAATAGGAAATAGTCGACCGGGACTGAATCGAAAGAACATGCTGGATGGGGTAGCAGCTCGTTATCCCCCCCCCCCTTCCCCTCACCTTCATTTTTGGGATTTTGATTACGCACCTCTGGGCACCTGTTGCTTTGTGGTATTCTTGAAAAGCTTTTGGAATGAGGGAAACTACATACATAAGTACCAATCTTCTGCGCTAGATTTCAAGATAAGCTTTCAGGTGAAATTCCCTGCTTAACGGGTTTGCGGTAGAGGTGGTATAATATAGAGTAACTCTACTAGCATCTAAATAAACGTGTCCAAAATGGACTGCGGTTTGGTTGCGTGGATATCCTTTGATATGGTGAATGTCTCCATTTCGTACCAACAACAACCAAAGTGAGCTTGCATTTAACAACATTAGGTAGTGTTTATAAATAGCCAAACTTAAACGGGCTAGGAGCTAACCCTTCGAAAAGTGAGCTTGTCTTTTTTAGGAGGAAACCAAAGGTGCCTGATTCTTATTACCGAAGCTAGATAGAACTAACCTAAGTCTTTCATCCGAGGCGAAAACCTTCGGTATTACCTTCGACTCCAAATTTATGTGGAAACAAAACGACGAGGAAAGAGCAAAGAAGCTCCAAGAAGCGTACCAAAAGTGTAAAAGGAGCTCTGGGGAAATCTGGAGGCTTCCACCGCACGTCACTTTAAACCAGACGGCGTAATTGGATCAATTAGATATCCAACTTGAAAAAAATTGAACACTAGCATACTGAAGTGAAATGATGGTATTACCATCTTACCAAATGACCCAATTATGTAAATAGAAGCTGGCGTGTTTCTCTATTTATAAATGCGGCAATCACCTCACTTTCCTAACGACTGCGGTGTCTTTCAGGCGGAGACCTCAGCCATGGAGGAGGCTGAGAATCTTATACAAAATTGTAAGAAAATCTCAGAGAAAGTAAGTATATTCATGGATCCAAGAATAGTGGAATCATCCCTGTAAACACCGATTTGTGATCTACAGAGCAAAGTTTACGAGTACGCCAACCATTAAGTAACGTAACAATTAATACGACGGCCGATATTCACAAAAAACCAGCTGTGTAACTTTTGACATCCGCAGTAGGAATTGTCACTTGTTGACATAACAGGACACTGTGATATTGCTCCAATGCTACGGCGATGGCATGTGACAACAAGTTCTCCTGAAGAGAGGATGTCGGGTGTGACGATAAAAAATCAATACACCAATTTCTACGTCAATGTCCAGCCCTCTTTGGGATCTCAGTCTTTCATCAGATTGACGCAGTTAACTAAAGTGAAAATATCGGGCCAACACGAGTTCATCCGCGATAATAACAAATACTACTTACATATAATAGCACTTTGGAATAGCCTCAGCTAGAGGTATGTGCTTCCTCCTGGCAATTATAAAAACCAAACTTACAAAAAAATGGGCAAATATGGGCAAATATTCAAACAACCAACAGAATAAAATATGACTCATGACTTATGTTCTTACTATTTTTTCCCAAAAAATACCGATTAATTTTGCTATCAACTTGCTCAAAAAAAAATATATCTAATAGGCAAATGAAATAAAATACTTAGGGATTTTTCGAGTTTCGGAGTATATTTTGGTTTTTGTGACTTTCCGGAACTTTTCTAAATTCTTCAGACACCAGCAGTACATTTCACCCTTTTTGGCATTTGTTCAGCTTGTTTCATATTTTTTTGTTTTTTTTCCGTAAACTTCGTAAACGTATTTTTAAGTTCGAATTTTTTTTTGGATCCCTTGTGCATTTTTTGAGTTCTTTCGAAAATTTCGGCATTCCTCAAGCTGTATATTTCTGGACTTTTCGGAACTGTTCGGGGAACCAC